CCGGGGGGCCGATCGACCGGATCCTCCTCGACCACTCTCCCCAGCCACTTGTGCGTGTGGGCGCCTGCCTATGTCCCGATCCATGATCATGTTTTTCTCTTCTTCCCTCTCCTGACGTGTTGCGTATTCGTGTTTCTCCACTGGTCCATGATGCCCATGCCACTCTTCCTCCTCTGCCTCTCCCGTCCTCCCTCCCGCCACACAGCTCTGCCATGTCCGGCCAGAGCATGCCCCAGGCGGCCCAGTATGGCCGTCAGATGGAGTGCGTGCACCCCATCCCGTTTCCCACCAGGCCGAGCCTCCCTCACTGCCCATGGTCTCTCCTGCCGCATGGGTGCCTTCGCGTTTCTCACCATTCACACCCGTCTCTCTCCCTCTCTCTCTCTCTCTTTTTGTTAGGGAGGATATGCTCAATGCCCAGACCACCGAGGGGATCAATGCCCTGAGCGCCCGGGTCGCCCGACTCAAGAACGTACGCTCCTCGCCATTTTACCATGCACTCCCGTGTTCCATCGGCGTCGCGGCCGAGGGGTGGTCACCATTGTACGGCTCTGACTCAGCCCCGCTCTGCTCGATGTTGTGCCCAGATCACCATCGAGATTTCGAACGAGGTCCGAAGCCAGAATGTTATGCTCGACGAGATGGTGCGTGGCCTTTCCCCCGCCCGCCTGGGTGTGTTGGTGTGCAGGATCTCTCTCCCTTGGCGCGTCCCTCCACTTACCTTCCTGCCTCCCCCGTGTTTGATGATCTCCCCCCCGCCCCCCTCCCTTCTCCCCTCCCCTTCCAGGACGAGACTATCGACCGGACCAACAACCTGGTCGGCAGCGCTATCAGCCGCATTCGTGTCTTCTCCCGCTCGAAGCACGCTTCCCAGTTTATGTATGTCATGGGGCTGGTGTTCTTCCTCTTTCTCTTCCTCTACTTCATTTCCTTCAAGAAGTGAGCCGATGTGAATGTGTTTGCGTGTGAATTTCGATAAATCCGCCCGCTCCTCCCCCTGTTCTTGCTGGTCCCCCACGGCAAATGGGAATGAAAGAATGCCCGAGGAGCCTCGAAGCAGCAGCTGCAGCAGCAGCAAGAACAGGCGCTCCCATCTTCCGGCCCCCCCCCCCCCCCCCCTTCCCCCGCCGGCGCGTGTCCGCCGCCGTCCTGTTTTGTCCCGCCCTTTCCCTGTCCTTGTAATACACCCCAAAGCTTCCTTTCGTTGGGACCTGTTGTCACGTCTCCAAGGGTCATGACCGGGGCCGGGTCACGCCTGGGCCTGGGCTTTTTTATTTCCCCCGGCCCGTACGTCCTCCCCTCCTTCTTGGCGACGATGTTCTTGGATGCTCGGTTGGCGGTGTGTCCAACTCTGGCGGCCGGGGGGGGGGGGGGAGGGGGGAGAGGCGGGGGATGGGCGACCCTGCTGGAGAAGGGGGCGTGAAAGGAAAATCAAGTTGACAGATATTGAAACCTCCGGACCAAGACCGGGGAGGGGGAAGCGCAGGAAGCGGCTTCCCTGCGGCGGCTGGACATTCTCCCGGCCGGGCGGCCTCGTGTGGGTGTGGGGTTGTTTTGCTTTTTTTTTTTATCGCGGTAATCTGGGGCATTCACAGCGGCCCTGTTGCCGCTCCTCATGACGGGAAAGCCTGGCCCATGTCGCGTCTGCGGTCCTTCGCCGCGCAACAGGAGGTCGATCAAGGGCGACTCTCTCTCTAGTTCTCTCTCTCTCTGTGTCTCTGTCTCTCGCGCATGCGCGCAAGACCCGGCACACAGGCGGGGCGGCATTGTGACCCAGGCTTGCGAATGTGGACTGAACGCGAGGCGGGTTAGTTGGTACCTCTCTCGGTCCCCGCGCCTGTGGCTGCCCCACGCCCCCCCCCCCCCCTTCTGTCCCGCGCCCCGGTGGCGTTATGCCAGTCATTGTTGTGACCCTGGGCTGGCGGGGTGCATGCGTGCACTAGTCGGGACTTTTTTCTAGTGGCGGCGATCTTCTCTGTAAGCAGGCCGATCATGGGGGCGGCACACCCGGCGCCGCCGTCTTGTCTACGTTGGAGGACGTGTGTGTGTGTGTGTGTGTGTGGGGGGGGGGGGGCGGGCGGGCGGGCGCGTGTGTGTGTGCGTGTGCGCGTCTCTCCAGCGGAGGGAGCCCAATACGCTGGTAGTGGGCCTTTTTTTCGCGCACCGATATCCCGGCGCCCCGGCGGCCTGGCGCGGGGCTGCATGCCTCCCCCGTCTCCCAGCTCCCCCCCCCCCTTCCCTGTCTCCACCTGTGCTGTTTATTTCTTCCTCTCCCTTTCCTCCCCCTCCTTCCTCCGGACAGCGACAATGCGTATCCTGCGCCAGTCCCTCTTTGCCCTCCTTTGCATTGGAGCCCTGCTCTTTGCGGCCAGCCCGGCGCTAGCCAAGAAGCAGGATGGGGTGCGTCACCGAACTCCACCTGGCTTTGTCTTTCCCGCACGGCGACTCGCCCCTCTCGCTGTTCCCGTGCTGACTCGCCCGCTTCCTGCCCAACCCATAGCCTTGCACGATCCGGGACAGCAAGAACCGTCTTTACGATCTGAGCCCCCTCACTCTGACCAACGGGTGCGCTGTCCTTCTGCCCCCGTCCCCCTGGCCGCGTGTCGCTCCGCTACTTACCCCCCCCCCCCCCCGATGTCTGTCTTCCCTTGCCACTGCTCTTGCCATACGCATGCCCATGCACGCACACAACAGAACCGACTGGCTGGCGTCCACGGCTCTTAGTCCTCACCACAACTACACCTACTACATCAACGTTTGCCACGACGTGCACTTCAAGGGCTTCAAGGTTCGCCCTCCTCCCCACTCTTCCCCGCTCTTCCCCGCTCTTCCCCGCTCTTCCCCGCTCTTCCCCGCTCTTTCCCGCTCTTCCCCGCTCTTATGGCACTTTTCACTTGTGCTGCGCCACTTCTTGATGGAATCCTCACCCTCTCTTCCCTCTCCTCCCCCTTCCCTTCCTCGACCGCACAGAATGAGACCTTCAGCAAGCCCGTCAGCAAGGGCACGGGTGTGGTGCAGGTCAGCAACACCAACCCCCTGCAGCAGGAGGACTGCGGCATGACCGACTATGTCCCCAGCGTGGTGGAGGGCATCCTGACCCTGATCTATGAGAATGGAAATATTTGCAAGTCCTCCGGCCAGAAGCGCCAGACCATCATCAACTTCGAGTGCGACCCGACCATCGGCCTCGGCCGGCCGGTTTTCCTCTTCGAGAACACTTGCCACTACCTGTTCGACTGGAAGTCCTCGGCTGCCTGCCCGGTTGACAACTCCCTCTCTGGCTGGGCGATCTTCTTCATTGTGTGCGTGCAGGGTGTACCCCCCCCCCCCCGCCTTCTTCGCCGTGTCTCCTCTCCCTGCCCCGTGGCGATGACTAACCTCCCTCTTGATCCCCCCTGTGCCGGCATCCAATGCTTCTGGACTGGTCTCCCTCCCGATTCAGGCTCGCCTGCCTGAGCGTCGTTTACGGCCTGCTGTATCTGAACAACACCAAGCGCCGTGGCCTGCGTGGCACTGATGCCATCCCTGGCTACCCGATCTACATTGGTTTCTGCGAGACTTTCGGCGTGCGTCCTCGGGGCGGGCTTGCTCCCCCTGGCATGTGGCACTTGCCACCTCCCTTTCTCGGGGTCTCATTTTGCTCACGCCTGTCTTTCTCTTTGTCTCGCTCACGCCTGTCTTTCTCTTTGTCTCGCTCACGCCTGTCTTTCTCTTTGTCTCGCTCACGCCTGTCT